TTAGTTTCTGCTCACTTTGCTCTACATCAGATTTTGAGTCTTAAAAAGTATTCATTTTTATATTGATATTATATACATATATCAATATATTCATAACAATTATTATATGTTCTGATTCCATAAATTTTCTATGTCTCATTGAAATCACCTCTTTCTTCATTTCTTATAATGTAATAGTAGTTCTTCACCTTCATATACCACAATTTATTCACATTCACCACTGATGAGGATTCCCTTCAATTTCCAGCTTTTTGGCCACCACAAAAAGAACTGTTATAAATATTGCTGTACACTAAGATCTTTACCTGTTTCTCTGATTTTTTTTCATGTAAAGGCCTATCAGTGGAATAGCTGGAAAGAAGGAAGTGTACTGTTGGTAAATTTTTGTGTATAATTCCTAATTAGTGATAGAGAAATTCAGGAAAGGCTTATGTTTTGAGGGAAAAATAGTGACTTCCGTTTTATATTTGTTAAATTTGAGATGCCTACAGGACATCTAGTTCAAACTGTCCAATAAATAATTGGTGATATGAGACTAGATCTTAGAAAAGAGACTAGGGCTGGATATATGGATTTGGAAGTCATCAGCTAGAATGATCATTGAACCTTTGAAAGCTGGTAAAGATCACTAAGTGAGCAAATGCAGAGATAAAAGAGGGCCCAGAACAATTTCATGGGGTACATTTACAGTTAAGCCTGAAAAGGATAAAGATAGAGTGAAGGAGACTAAGGGAGGGTTAGGTGAGAACCAAAAGAGAAAGGCATCATGGAAATGCACAGAGAAGAGAGTATCCAGAAGGAGAGGGTTGTCAACAAAGTCAAATGTTGCTGAGTAGTCAAGAAAGATGAGGATTGAGAAAGGGCTGTTAGATTTGGCATTTAGACTGGCAGAAATCATTGGGAACTTTGGAGAGAGCGGTTTCAATTGAGTTAATGATAAAATTGAAAACTAGATTGCAGAGAGTTTAGAAGTGAGTGAAAGGAGAGAGAAGGAAGGCAGCAAATATAGACAGCTTTTTCAAATAGTTTACCCTGAGGAGAGGGAAAGAAATGTAGACTGATAGCTAGTGGAGAGAGGTAGGGTCTAGTGAAGGTTTATTAAAGATGGAGGTGACTTGACTCTGTAGGCAGCAAAAGAACCAGTAGAAGGGGAAAGACTGAAAATTAAAAGGGGAGGGGTTGGCAGTGGGGACAGTCTGTTGGAGAATACAGAAGGTAATAGGATCAAGAATAAAGGAAGATGAGAAGGGTTATCTTTTCATCAGAGATTGGAATAAAGAAAAAGACAGTGGTGCGGGAGGGTATTTGGGTGTTACAAGATAAGGAAAAAAGGAGAAGAAGGAATTTGAGGTGAATAGCCTTGATTTTCTTAGTAAATTATCAGGTAAGGTTCTCAGAGAGATGGGGAGGGGGACTGAGGGAAACCTGTAGAGAAAAGAAAAAGTTTGAAATAGCATCTATAGTGAGTAGGATAGTGAAGGGAGGAATAAAAAGATAGCTTTGCTGCTGAGGGCTCAGTTGAGATTTGTTGTCTATGTTCAGTTATTTTCAGTCATGTCTGACTCTTTGTGACCCTATTTGGGGTTTTCTTGGCAAAGATACTAAAGTGGTTTGCCATTTCTTTCTTCAGCTCATTTTATACATGAGGAAACTGAGGCAAACAATGTTTAGTGATTTGCACAGGGTCAGATAGCTAGTAGATGTCTGAGGGCAGATTTGAACTCAGGAAGATGAATCTTTCTGACTCCAGGCAGTGGATTTTCCACCTGTCTACTCTATCCACCCAGCTTCTCTTCAGTTGAGATTAAGTAACATAAATTTGTAGTGATTGTGTGGCTTCCTCCAGTACCATTCAGCAGCAAGTGAATCAGAGCAAAGAAGGAAGATGGCAGCTCTATCCCTTCTTAACAAAGTATAGACATGATCACAAAAGATGGAATGGATCATTTTAAATGCAATAAGTATAAGAAGGGAAGCTGCCAACAAAGAAAAAATATTGGCATAAAATATCTCTAATATCCAAGTTATATAGGTATCTGAAACAATATAAGACAAAGATGCATTCTGCATTAGATAAATAATCAAAATTTATAAGCAAACAGTTCTCAAAAGAATTACAAACCTTTATCCATATATACAGATCAATCCACATCACTAATAATACAGTATAAGAAAAATACAAATGAAAACAATTTTGAAGTTTTGCCTCACATCCAGAAAATTTGCAAAGATAATGAAAGAAGAGCTTTAAAAAAATGAATAAAATCCATACATCCTTTGACCTCACTGTTAGGTATACACCCCCAAAGAAGTAAAAAACATTGAATATTTTCCAAAACACCCATAGCAGTGCTCTTTTTGGTAGTAAAGAACTGAAAACAAATGCCCATTGACTAGGGAATCGCTAAACAAATTGTCATACATGAACAGAAGGGAATATGACTGTACTGTAAGCAACAATGAATATGAAGAATTCAGAAAAGCATGGGAAGACATGTGAACTGATGTAAAGCAAAGCAAGCAGAATTAGGAAATCATTGTATACCTTTATAACCATGTAAGTGAAAAGAACAAAAAAAGAAAATGAAAATGAATACTGTGTACCAAAGAAGAGATGGGAAATTGTACCTACAATAATCGATCTAGAGGTAGAAGGACCCTAGAATCCATAAAGTCCAATCCCTTCATTTTGTAGATGTGGAAATGGAGGCACTTTTCCAGGGTCACAAAAAAAGCTAGTAACTATCTGGAGCAAGATTCAAACTCAGGTCTGCCTTACTCTTAAGTCCAGTGTCATCCAACACAGGTGAGAGATTAGAAGCATGAAATGTCACAAAATACTGTCAGATCTGATTGATGCATTGGTTAATTTTGCTGAACTGCATTCCCTTTCCTCTCCCCATTTTTTTTTTCTTTTTTTTTATTCTTTGTTAGATGAGTCCCAGGTTGTAGAGAGGGAAGGTTACATTGGAAAATAAGATGATATAAAAACAGTAGGTATCAATAAAAATTAAGAAAACCTTTCCAGTTTATATCAATAACTATATATATATAAATGTATGTATGTATATATGTGTGTGTGTGTATGTGTGTGTATGTACATATGTATGAGTGTGTATATATATCTCAGTTTTCCCCTTCAATGGAAATACGTGAAACTGATGGACTGGTGTTAGCTTATTAATATATGCCTTTGCATATGTGATGTGACACACTCCCCCCACTTCCCCTTCTGCCAAATTCAAGAGGACTCTATGTGTCTGCATGAATGCGTCTAAGTACCTTTTGACCAAAGAATATGTCTGGGCCCCAGATCCTGAGCCTGTTCCTATCTGCAGGAAGTTGCACCTAGTATCTCAGATTAAAATCAGCTTTTATACCTCATGGGCTCCCAAAGGCTGAGGGAGGAAGGAGGATTTATCCTTGGTGTCTTAAAACCCCTAATATTCGAGGCCTTTTAGGATTAACTCCTCAGCCTGGGGCCTTTGGTGTCTACCATTCCCCAGCTTGACCTCTTCTGTGGAGTCTGAATGCCTGGATTCCTGATAACCATCTCAGGGCAGGATTTGTTTTGTTTTTTGGGTCAGGGCTTTCACCTAAAAAGGCCTCCAATTTCACCTCTAATAAAAAGGTGTCTCCTTCATCCCTTGTTTGGAAGCAATCCCCCAAGGCAGAGCCAGCAGCAAAACAGGAGGGAAGAGATAAGTAGAGAAGTATCAATAAGAGCCAACCCTTGGGCTGCCATGTTTTTATCAAAGAATCCCCCAAAGCAATAGGGATATCATGGATTGCCCTGGCTTTCTTCAAGACTCAGCTAATCTGTGGTCCTTCCAGATCCTGGGCCATCCCCTCCAAGGTCATCTTTCATCTGTTTTGAATTCAGTTTCTAAGCTCTATATCCAACTTTCACACAGTCAGTAGATAAAGCAAAGATTAAAAGACAGACTCTAATAGAAGAGGAGATGTTCAGATCACGTGAGAAAAAGGATATTCAGTTCACTTTTTCCAGCACTCTTTAGGAAACACATCTACTTCCTCTGGATGTTCTTTGGCTTATGAACCAAACCTTCAGTGAAGAGCTTTGAGATCATGTGATATGGCAGCCAGATGGTGCAATGGATAGAGTCAGGAGGATCCAAATTCAAAGCCAGTCTCAGACACTTACCTATTGGGTGACCCTCGGCAAGTCGCTTAACCTCTGTTCACCTCAGTTTCTTAATCTATAAAATAGGGATAACAGCACCCTACCTCGAAGGTGATCTGTAAAATGGGGATAATTATAGTACCTGCTTCCCCAGTTTGTTATGAGGATCAAATGAGATCATAATTGTAACAGGGCCTTACACATAGTAAGCTTTACCAGGGGTGGGGAACCCGTGGCCTCGAGGCCACATGTGGCCCCCCAGGTCCTCAAGTGTGACCAAACTTCACAGAATAAAGTTTGGATTCAGTCAAAGGGCCATACTTCAGGACCTAGAGGGCCACATGTGGCCTCAAGGTCACAGGTTCCCCAACCCTGCAAAAAATATTAGCTATTATTATTATTATAATCATAATTATTGTTTAAAAGGTCTAAGCCTCAAAGGTAGGGGTCCTTAATCTTTTTAATGGATCCCTGTGGTCATTTGGTGAAGCCTATGGACCCCTTCTCAGAAAAATATTTTAAAAAATTGAAAGAAATTTTTGAAAAATAAAAATATATACGTATATTTAAAAAAATAATGAAAAGAAAACATAAATTTAAGTTAAGGATTATGAAAATAAAGATACAGTAGAATTTTCCCCCCATGAAAGTTCGTCCCTTGAGATTTCAAAGGAGCCCAAGGAGCCCAGGTGAAGAACCCTTTCTCTGAAGAGAAAAATGGGCTTTACTCCCCTTCCAGAGTTGTTGTGGGAAAGCACCAACACCTGTCCAGCCTGCAGCAAGCAGCATTTTTGTGTCCTTTGCTGTTCTAGGGTGTGAGTTCCATCAAGGAAGGCCTCACCCCAGTGACATCCTGGCCATCATTTGGAGACGGGCATGGGCTTCCTGAGGCAGATAAGACTTTTGCTTTGGAAGAATTGGACACTGAGGAAAAGGCAAAAGGTAACGTGGACCCAGGTTTCTGCTACCCCTATAGCCCTGAGAGTGATGAGGCAGTGGGAAAGCTAGCTCCATGTGTTGGTAGAGGCCATGGGTTCCAATCCTGACTCGACCCCTTGCTACCCATGTGATCTTAGAACCTCATTTTGCTGCTCTGTGGAAAGAAAGGGGTGAGCAAGAAGACCCTGTCAGGTGCCTGTGGCTCCACATGCAGCCCTTCAGGACCCCTGCTTTGGGGAAATCCAAATCTGAGCAGCTGGGGGTCAGGAGAACATGGCAGGCCCTGGGGATGGGCCTCAGGGAATTGCTCTGTTCCTGCTTAGGAAGAGCTGTGGTTTCACTTAATGAATTAAAACACCAGGGTCATGGTGCTGTGAACCCATCTGACAAGCGTCCCATATGCAGAAATGTTCCCATGCCCTGCAGTGCTGTCATTTGCCCAGAACCACAGGTGCCCTCATGGAATCGCTCTACTTTTGTCCACCAGCAAGATGGTTTTACTATTATTATCATCATTATTATTTATTATGTCTGCAAAATAAGCAAGTTCTCTTTGAGTATCCCTTGTGCAGAATGCTTTAGGTGGGGTGGGGAGGAATAAATGCCAACAACAGATAGGGCACAGTCCCTGCTCCCAGGAACACCTGATTAATCATAATCCCAAACACAGATACAATAAGAACACAGTTAGCTGAGGACACTACTTGACACAAAGGTATGGGACAACATCCCTACCCTCAAGTGGCTTAGAGTCTGGCCGGGGAGAAACCTGCCCTGATATTTCATATCGTCTCTCTGACTCTCTTGAACACTTTACATACATCTGTGATAGATAACAATAGAATGCAGAATACTTCAATAGCTCCATGATTTCATTAGTTAATTGATGGGGTATGGTAAATAGATTGACTGGACCTGGAGTCAGGAAGACCTGGATTCAGACCATTCCTTCAACAGTCATTACCTCTGTTACCTTGGGCCAGGTATTGAAACTTCTTGGGCCTCAGTTTCCCCATCTGTAAAATGAGGGGGTTGGATTAGACTTTCTGAGGTTCCTTCTACCTCTAGTTCTGTGATCATGGAATCCTATGAACTACTAGCTGTGTGCCTCAATTTCCTAATCTGTTCAATGGGGATGATAATAGCACCTACCTCACAGGGTTGTCGTGAGGATCAAATAAGATGATTTTTTGTTTGTTTGTTTGTTTTTAGGCAGTTGGGGTTAAGTGACTTGCCAAGGGTAACACAGCTAGTAAATGTCAAGTGTTTGGTCTGAGGCCGGATTTGAACTCAGGTCCTCCTGACTTCAGGGCCGGTGCTCTATCCACTGTGCCACCTAGCTGCCCCCAAATAAGATGATTTTGTAAAGTGCTTTGTAAACCTTAAAGTGCTATGGAGATGACAGCTCATATCATGATTCATGTGAATACTCCATCTAATCAGTTTAAACACAGGCTGCGCTTACCTTCTCATGCAGTGCATATCTTGCCATGAGTATTCCACACAGAATCTACCTCTTGGTCTTTCCACTCTGTTGATTCCATCTGGCATTCCTTCATTTCACTAAATGACCAGCCTACCTCCTTTTTTGATCCTCTGCTTCCTGGACCATTCCCTTTAGGACACTTGAGCCCCAGTTGTCTTGGGCTGCAACCACCTTCAGCCCACTGGGTGTCTTCCCATTCCCCCTGGGGTTATCCACCATTTTGATTCTTTGTGGATAGTGCCATTCCATGATCCACAGCCACACAGCATCACAGGAGGAATATTCGTATTAAAAAGATTGGGTTTTGTGTCAGGAATCAGATGGACATCTATAAGCTAAGTACTAAATGAGGAGCCTAGACAACAAGTACCCCTGGACTTCAGGGGAAGGAGAGATGCTTCGGGTGTGTGTACATCACTCACTGGGACCTCAGAGGCCATCAAGATCAACCCCCTCATTTTACAGGTAAGGAAACTGAGGTCCAGAGAGGGCACCTGATTTACCCAAAGTCATGTAAATAGCTCGTGACAGAGCAGCTGACTTCAAATCCAGAACTGTCTGTAAAATATATATATATATATGTATATATGTATGTATGTGTGTATTATATATTTTAATAATTACAGACTAACAAATATCACCCAACACAAACATTTCAATATAAAGCAAAAAGAAAAGCAGGATAGTACATGAAACTGTGAGCTTCTATTAAATCCAATTTTGTTTTTTTAAGTGTAAATAAAATGTAATGCATTAGCAACAAATTTACGCTGCTTGCCCAAACTTCTTTCCTTTCTCTTCTGTGTACCTTGCCCATTGGTGTGCTTTTCTTTTATCTTTTTTTTTTTTTCACCATTCTCACTCCTCATCACAGAGGTTCTAAACTCTGCCTGAACTCTCCCTTCTTATGTGACCCTGACCACTCTGACATCATCTGTAAAATGAGGATGATAATACATAATGCAGGACTGCTATGAAGAAAGCATTTTGCAATAGAAATGTGTGACCTCTGGTCATTGTTTTATTACTTTTTAGGAAAGTGTGGAAAGGGAAAAATTCTTAGAAGTCAGGCAGACTGACTACTGCTTTCCTTCTCTGTTTCTTTTGCTTTCTCCCCCCGTCCTTCCCATTCTTTTCTGGATACACTTTGAATTTTTTATAAATTTTCAAAAACTTTTCCACATAATCTACTGCATAATTTTTTATATTTTTAAAAACTTTTACACATCATCTGTCTGCATGCCGTGTTTTCTCTTTTGAAATAGAGTCAGGCAGTCAGTAGAGACTCTCCTAAGCAGATGCTATTTCTTCTTGCTAGGACAATGAGTTGAACTGGAAAAACTTCAAGGAGGGTCTGACTACTTTCCCTTAGAGGAAATAATGGGGAAGGAGAGAGGGTTAATCTGCACCCATTCCTCTACTCTCAGCTGTTGTTGTTTGTCTGTTTTCAAAGAGGGCCACTGACATCTTGGTGTGATGGATTTAAGTGAGGCAGAGGTGCAAAGTTGGCAGCTCCATTCTCTTTTCCAGTCATCCAAGTCCAGTGGCAAGACAGAAGTCAAGACGACTGGTGATGGTTGGGGATGCAGTGGATGACCTTGGTGTCTTTGATGTCTGACCCAGTTGTAAGTGGTCCACAGTGCCTGCTTCATCCGCCTTCATGGCCATTGGAATAAATTGTTCTCATGCACTCATTCCACTGCATGAAGTCTTCCCACGCTTGGAGTAGACTCCCTACTAACTTATAGATGGGTTTGAGGCCTTAGTACCCTTATCCTGGTTTAGCCTGTCTACCCAGATGGTTTTACTGGGGGTGTCTGCTTCTGGATTCTTTTTTTTCTTATTTGCTTCCTTCTTCCTTCCCTTGGGTCAGAAATATCTTGCTGTGCATTTTGGGGAAGATGCCAGTGAACTCAGTCTTCATTAGCAGACTGGTCCTTCTTCCCTCAGCATCAAGGGTTCTATAGTGCCAGAACTATCCTAAATATAAAAACTAATGTTCAACTATTTTGTAAGACATCTCCTTTTCACTTTATCTGTTTTACAAACATGTTGGCTACTAGAGGCAGTCTCCAGGCAGGAGTGAATTGTTGAAGACAAGGAGGATTATTAGGAGATCTTAATTGTAACCAACCTCGCCACAAATAGCAGTTACTTGGGTTCTCTTAGGTTCCTGCCAGCTCTAAAATACTAATTCTAATACTGTTTTTGACCTAAAAGATCTCATCTTTTATCACCTTTCTCCTATTTTACAGTAGAAAGAAGGTAAAAATAGGGGAGTTATTAATAAAAGATCACATTTAAATTATAAAGCGTTTTGAAAAGTGCTTTCTCCAACTAGAGAAAAGGCATGATTTTGAGGCAAGTCATGAGAAAAGATAAGAAAAGTCTCAAAGTGGCAAAGTCTCAAAGTCTTCAAAGTGGTAAAGCTAGGAAGTGAACCCAAGTCCTCTGATGCTGAATTCAGGGTTTTTTCCGTGCCATGCTGACTCTCTGATGATGAACTGCAACAATACTCCCAAATACACACACATACACATAAACACACGGAAAATGAAAATTGTTGGGAAGCATTTTATAGGATGAGCTGTCATATTTTTCCCAATTATGAAGTATTTATTGGGAGTGAACAATCATATCCTTTCACTAACTGAGCTATTCATAATGGTGTTAGTTGCAGAATAAAATTTATCTAAAGATATAGCCTTATGCTAAAAAAAAGAAAAGAAAAGAAAAAAGAAAAATGCTTTCTCTTGAGCAGCTCTGGTAGAGTATCAGAACTATTATTATTCCCATTTTACATATGAGGAAATAGGTACTCAAAGAGGATTGCCAAGTGAATTGCCCAGGGTCACATGGTAAGTGAAGATCAGAGCCAAGATTCAAACCCAGATCTCCTGACCCTTACTCCACTGCTCCTTTGGTTACACCGTGGTGGTCAGCACACTTGCCAAGGTCCTAGACAGAAATCACACTGTTTCTTGTGACAGTTTCATGTTGGTTTCATTCTTTTAACCTGTCTTCTAGTACAGAATCATCATACGTGGAGGGCTGATCCTAAGTGAGTTTTTTCATAATCTTGTGTGAGTTCCCATTCTCTCTTTTTTTCCTCTAATTTTGCTTTGTTACCAGATTCGTTTTGTTGTGGAACTGGTGTGGCCTTTGTCTTTATTCGTTGTCCTGATCTGGCTAAGGAATGCCAACCCACTCTACAGCCAGCATGAATGTAAGGATTTGGGTTCGACTTTGGGCAGTAATTAGGAATACTCATTCATTCATACACAGTATATGTTGTCTCCCTCTATCAGAATGTCCTTCAAAGCAGGCAGTGTTTAACTTTTGTATTGGTGTCTCGAATGCTATATGGGACTTGGCACGTAGTAAGTGCTCGTGAATGCATTTCATTCATTCATTCGTTCATCTATCCTGGTCATGAAATCAAAATTGGAAAATCCCTGTGGGGCCTTTTTCTGTCCTCCTTACTGATTTTTGCTGTCTTTATGTTCATGCATATAGTGTAAGCTACCTGAACTGTAATGTTTTTTCACCTCTGTGCATTTTATGCACATAAACTAATTGAAGGATTTGGAAGCTCTTTGTCTCTAGATTCACAGATTTTTCTTTTAAAAGATAGAAATTATGAGTAAAGTGTCTGAATATTTTGGGAACAGACTTAGGGAAATGGAATATGCTATAGATACAGTTTATCAATACCGCTTAAAAATAAAATATTTATCAGGGGATCAGTGGCTTCCTGCTGAACATTTTAAAGTGTCTCTTCTATTGCCTGGGCAATGTTATATGGTGCTACTCTATGAAGATCTTAATTAATGCAGCCTCTCGGTTTCTAGCCTGGAAGATTGCTTTACTCCAGACACTTACTAACTGTGTGACCCTGGGCAAGTCACATAACAGCTGTCTGATTCAGTTTCTCCCATCTGTAACATGGAGATAATAGCATCTACCTTCTAGGGTTGTTGTGATGTGATATTTATAAATCACTTTTCAAACCTTGAAGCACTATAGAAATACTAGCTATTGTGACTATTATTATTATTCGTTATAATATTAAGAATACTCATAATAGCTAACATTTATATAATGCCAGGCACTGTGCTAAGCACTTTACAATTATTATCTAATTTGATCCTTATAACAGCCCTGGGAGGTAGGTGTTATTATTATTATCCTCGTTTTATAGTTGAGGAAACCAAGGCAAACAGAGGTAAAGAGATTTGCCCAAGGTCTCAGCATCCAAAGCTAGATTTAAACTCAAGTCTTCTTGACTCTAGGCCCAGTGTTCCATCCACTGTACCCACCAAGCTGCATTATTATTAATATTATTACTACACCTTGAAAACCTGGCATGTGTGTTTGGAAGACACAAGAATGTTGGGAGGTATGCTTGACTCCTTGATCAGTACCTTTTTGATCATAGGTTTTGAGTTTCTATTTCTGCACTCAATGCTTTGGGTAAATATGGATTCCAGATCTTGTCTCTTCAGCTTACCCTCATAGGGTCCCATATCTTATAAGACCCAGAGGGGTGGCATTTTAGCTCTTATGCTTAAGTCACCATGGCTCTGTGCACCTAAGTTTCAATGGCTGATTTTCTATTTGTCTGGGTTCTCCATCTTGAAGGCCATTTCCCCAACAAGGCAATGCCCTCAGCTGGACTGCTACCATGGCTCCAAGGGATTTTTTGCAATGTGAATAATCCTTGTTTCCAGAGCCCCACCCAGGGAGAATCTCCTGGCATCGTGTCAAACTATAACAACTCCATGTAAGTACCATGAGACCTCAGCCCCCACTCTGTTCAGATTGAGGATGGAGATCAGTAAGGAAATGTACCCAGGGTCAGAGTAGGCCTTTTTCAGCTTGATATGAACCAGCCTGACAAAATCTCTAGCTATCATCACTCTGGGCCTCAGTTTCCTCATCTATAAATTTAAAAGGATTTTTTGACTAGATGACCTCTGAATTTATGGCCTTATTAACATTTTTATTAGTCAGGTGCTCATGCCCAAGAGCTGCTAGGAGAAGGAAATGGCAAACCACTCCAGTATGGTTGCCAAGAAAACCCATGGACAATATTGATGTGTTATGGTCCACAGGGTCATGAAGAGTCACACATGACTGAACAACAAAGGGCCCCATAAGATCTAGAACCCGAGCCGGAAGGACCTTCAGAGGTCCTCTAGAACAGCAGTTCTTAACCTTATTTTGTATCATGGGGCTCTTTTGGCTGTCTGGTGAAGACTATGGACCCCTTTTCAGAATAATGTTTTTAAATGCATCAGAATACATAGGATTACAAAGGAAACCAATGACATTGAAGTTGTTATCAAAAACCTTAAAAAGAAAAATTCACACATACTTGCTTAGGAACCCCTGTTTCTAGACTAATACTGCCATGTGAAACATGGATTCCTCTCTACGATATCCCTGGCAGGTGAATGTTATCTAGAGGAAAAAGAAAACTACTTGATTTATATTATTGCCTGAGGTGGAGAGTGAAGGTGAGGAGCCTTTTCTTCCCAGACTTGCCCTGACATCCTGAGTTAAGCCTCCTTTTGTAGAGGAGATAGTGAAAAGTGATAATGAACTGCTCTTTTGGCCAAAGCTGTTTATACTTGAAACGATAAGATCTATAATCAGCTTCCAGTCCCTTCATACATGATTAGGACAAATGCCGCCCTGAGAAGGGAGTGGTGAAAAATGTTTCACAAAATGTTCAGCTGGAGTGAAATTCTTAGCAGGAACCTTTGTCAAATAAAATTAAAACAGACCTTTCTGGATGGAAGTAGTTCTCATTTACAAATATACATATATATTATTGAAATTAAGAATATATCTACATGGATCCTTGAATAGTCTGGATGACCCTGGCTCACTAACAAAGGCCCAACTGGATGCATGTGGGCCACAAATCCCCAGTCATTGATTCATCAGCATGGATGGAACAGATAGACTAGAAGATCTCTTTCTGCAACTGTTCCTAGGTGGGAATAATAAGAATAAGAATGATAATAATAATGATGATGGTAATGAATGCTACTCCCAGGATGTTTCCAGGACAAACAAAGGTGGAGCTGTTTCAAGCTCAAGCTATTGTTGTCATTTAGGAAATAATTAATATAAAAGAAAATCTTTATTACCATAGCTTTCTCCTTTATCTCTAGCTTGGCAAGGGTCTACCAAGATGTTCAAGAGCTCCTGATAAATGCACCAGAAAGCAAAGTCCTTGGCCAGATTTGGAATGAGCTACGTTTGTTATCCCAGCTCATGGAAACTCTCAGGACTCATCCTGAGAGAATAGCAGGCAAGTTGGGGTTTAGTATATATGGTGGGGTTGTGTAGTTGCCACTCTCCTTCCTTAAGCCAGAATTCTAAAACTGTTATGGAGAAGCCACAGGCCTATGTCATCTTAAGCGTCAGATGGAATGGTGGCCCAGTTCTGCTTGGTCAAGCTTTTTTATTTCATTTGACTACTTACAACCTGCTGAAAACCACTGCACACAGTACCTATGTTCTTTTGCCTTGGTTTTTTTTTTTAAATTTCTCCCATTTCCCTCTTCTCTGAACTACCAAAGGACCACACTGGGTTCCATATAATTTATATTAAGAATTTTTAGCTTTAAGGAACTAGAATTTCATTGGTGTAGTTATTTAGTTCACTTATGTAGATGGCAAAGCTTCTATGTCAAGTGTTCTTAAATGGGGATGGTCTATAAACTTGTTTTTTTTAAATATATTGATAACTGTATTGTGACACCATTAGTTTCCTTTGTAATCCAATTATTTTATTTTATGTATTTAGAAACATTACTCTGAGAGGAGTCTACGGGCTTCATCAGATTGCCATGACATAAATATGGCCAAGAATTGATCCTCTACACTTTAGGAGAGAGTCTCCATGAGTTATTGTTGCTGAAAATTAATGCTCGGCAGCCAAGCTGCGAAAGAGCCTTTGAGAGATTATATAGGTAGGCTCATCCTTGACCAGATCCTGCTAGAGCTGGCATGACATTGGAGAACCTAGAGCCATCCTCCATCCCTGATGATGTTTTATGGCATTTTAATCAAAACACTTTAGCACTGGTCCTGGAGTCAGAGGACCTGGGTATAAATTCCACCTCTGACACAACTTCTCTGGGCCTCAGTTTCTTCATTTATAAAGTGAAAGGTTTGGACCAGAGGGCCTTTGAAGTTCCCCACACCTCTAGGACAACGCTTCTATGAGTATGTGAATGTTTCATGTCAACTCCATGACAGCAGGCAGAGAGTCAACAGCACAAATGGACTGAAATCTAGTCCTCCAGACCCCAATCTAGTGGAATCCAGAAAGTACCATTCTATTCCATTCTGTCCCATTCCCTTCCATTCCACCCCATTTCATCCCATTCTTTCCCACCCCATCCCACAAACAGTTTTTAAAGTATTCACTATATGCCAGGTGCAATGCTGGGTGCTGAAGATACAAAGACTAAAATAATAATGGTACAGACATTTGTTCAAATATCTATCAAATTTAGGCTGTATGAGGCAGGAAGCTCAAAGTAATACATTTTATGCTATTTTGTATTCTTTAAATTGGCCAAATGAGGATTTTTTTAAAAATTATCGGTATCTTTGGTTTTTATATCATATCTATTCCTTAATGTACCCCCTCCCCTCTCCCTTATATATTGATCCTTGTTCCAAAAAATAAAAGAGGGAGTGGGAGAGGGAGAAAGAGAGAGCACTTCTGCAAAGCTAACCAAAACATCGCATTGTGAGTCTGACAGTACATACAATATCTGATACTCACAGTCTCCCATACCTGCAAAGAAGAGAGGGATGTGAAGCTTCTCTTCTCTAGGGCAAAGCTTGGTCCAAGTGAGAATTTTTAAAGACTATTAAATAAATCAGTGGGAGACAAAGAAAGATTGATTTTGAATTGGGGAACAGATAGTTCCTTCTGCCAATCACTGGGGTGTAAAATAAAATAATTTGGAATCAGAATACTTGAGCTCAGGTCCCAGCACTGCCTAATGCAATCTGTCTGACCTTGGGCAAATCACCCTCAATTTGTTCACCCAGAAAATGGGGGATTGGACTGGATTATCTCTAAGTTCACTCAACTCTAAACACTTATTAATTATTTGGGTATCCTAGAAAAGAGGAGTCCACTTGGACCAGCTGGGGCTTTCTAGCACTCATCTGTGTGTATCCCCCAGATCTGAATATCCCCAAATTTCAAGGCTACAGGGAGCAGGAGATGGGGAGGAGAGGACAAGTGAGGACATTCCCAGAATTGCTCAGATCCATGCCTGGAACCCTGAAGACAACACCCTGTTGCTCATAAGCTTTGGAAGAGTCACCCATGAGCCTTGGACTATGTGATGTGAGGGGAGAAGAGTTAGTCCTTCAAAAGTATAGCCTTTTGTTTTGTCAGTTTCCCCTGGGAAAGCCTGGTTGCAGCCAGGGAGCATTTTGCTTTCATAGTAAACCTGCCTTACTGCATTCTCTGCAGGGGAAGATTAAGGCTAAAAGTGCACAAACTCCCCCTCTTCCTCTTCCCAACCCCTCCTCACCATACCACCAAGCAAGCTCTGTGGTCTCTCAGTCTTCTGCAGGAGACCCATCCTCCCACCTAAGTTTGGAAGCACCCCCACCTCAACCCTGAGCATTCTGCTCTCAATGACCTTCCTCCTCTCTTCCCGTCCCATTTCACCACCCCTACCCCACCCCCTGGCCCCTCTGACCTTCAGCAGGGAAGGAAACAAGAAGAACGACATTTTAAACCAAATTTATTTTGTTTTCGCTGCAGGCCCCCCAGTTCACATTTCTCCCTCAGGACTCTGGTTAAGCCTCTGTCTGGTATCAGCTCCCTCTCATACTCTCGGGGGGCCCCCAGACTCTCATCTTGGGGAGGGCCAGAGGACTCTTCCCTCATTTACTCAGATGGATGACTGTTGATGGATCTAAGTCCTGCCCCTTTTCCCCCAGGGCTTATGGAAAGCAGGTGTCAAAATCAGCAGCCCCGCCTTCTGGGTGGTAGCAAAGGTGTGGAAGACTTTAGCAAAACTGAGTTCCAGTGGCCTGCCCAACTCCCATCCTTTTCATCTCCCTCAGCCTGGAAGGGTTCCTCCTTATCCAGTCTCATCAGTTTGCATTAAGAGAAGCATAGCTTCTGGGAATAAGGAGTCTTTGTACCTGCTCTGGTCAGAACAAATTCTGGAGCACTGGGTTCAGTTCTAGGCATCCCAGTTTGAAAAGGACAAAAAAGCCATCTCCAGTCATCCTGATCTGTATCTTGCCATTGGACCCCGATGGCTCTGGAGGAGAGAGTGAGGCTGCTGACTTTTCAAAGCCCTGCTTCACTTAAATCCAATTCACTTGCAAGTCATGACATCACCTTCTCAATGTCATGGTCCTCTTTGAGAACAGAGGACAAGCAACAACCTTTCTCCCTCCCTTCGATCCTTCCTTCCTCCATTTATTTTTTCTTCTGTTCCTTCCTCTTTCCTCTTTCCTTCCTTTCTTCCTTCTTTCCTTCCTTCCTTCCTTCGTTCCTTCCTTCCTTCCTTCCTTCCTCTGAGCTGTCTAGAAGAAGAGAAATTTTCAGATTGGATATTCTGGAGTGGCTGCAAAGGAAGATGGTCCTAGGCTGAATGGGGCATTTGATAGAGGAGTCAATAGCTTAGAGTTCTGTCCAGGAGGGCAGATGTGTAGTAACCACCCAACCCAAAACCTTCCTGTATTGCTACTGCCTTCTCAGACAACTTCACAGCCTTAGAAAACCTCAGGCCACAAACTGCTTCCCGAGCCAACCCCAAATTGATGAGAGGTTGGGAAAAGGGAATAAAGGGGCTTTGTGTTAGGACTTTGAGGACCTGGGAGGCCCTATTGCCCCACATCCCATAAAAAACATCCTACCCTTGGTGGCTGTTGACTGGAATTTTGCTGATAGACCTTATTCCTTTAGCAGAATAAAATCTTTAGTCCCTGGTAGATGCCAACATCCTTGAGAGGGGTAACTCTTTAAGCTGTTATGGATCACTCACCTCCACTGAAGTCTTCCTCCATGATTCCTTATGGCATGGAGGGTAGTTAGCCTGACTTCAGGACTAGTAGTGTTTGAGGTCTAGAGGGTCCTACTAGCAGCAGCTAGGTGGGGTGATGATGGATAGAGGGCTTGGATTCAGGAAGCCCTAAGTTTGAATCCCATCCCCAACCCTGTCTGTCTGTGACCCTGGGCAAGTCACTCATTCTCTTAGACTCAGTTTCCTCTACTGTAAAATGAGGATAATTTAACAGCTACTTCACAGGGGATGTTGTGAGAATTGAAAGATAATGCATGTAAAGTGGTTTTCAAACCTTAAAGAACTATCTAAATTTTAGCTATTACCATTATTACCAAGTTATAAAGGCTTCAGGTAGACCATATCAGTTATCTAAGGACAAGTCTAGCTTAGCTAAATTTCCACAGGGTCCTCAACAAATTGGCATCAGGGTGACGAATTTTTCCTTAACTATAGTCCACATAGTTGAGGAGTATCAAGGCCAGAGGATAAGTTACTAGTAAATACTTTGCCTGGGGCAAATCAAAAGGGGTGAAACAGAATGAGGTTCATCTAGAGTTGAGCCATCAAGTGGAGGCTACCACATGGGTGGGGCTGGATAAGGTAAAAGAGACACTGGGTTGTGGAAGCCCATCTCTAGACAGTGCCTTGGATACCCTCTAAATTTTATGCTCAGAGACAAAGCTCATATAGCCTTGCCCTAGTTACGTATCTGGGCAAGGCCATGAAAATCACATATTCTTGAGGGGAGAGTCATTTATACTTTATTTTGAATTTGTTTTGGATGTTTTCCTGAGAAGAGATTGTGATGGGTCCCAGAAGAAGGTGGGGCCAGTGTGGCCACCAAGGGAAGAAAAAGATTGGAGATTGGCAGCTTCTGAAGACAAACTTCTCTGATTTTGCTGTCTTGCCTAGGGCTGACCTTGCTGGGGTCTATCAGCAGCTTGAAGACATTTCATACCTGTAGTGCTTTTCCATCTTATTCAAATCTTCTGATAGCTCTTGGTGTAGGTATCCAGAAAGAAATTCCAGAGAAGAGATGCTCAGCCTGTGTAAATATTTAAACAAGCATTTTAGGACCTATTTCTGAGACACAGAGAATGCCTGGGCACTAGTCATACCTTACCTAGGGCCAGAGGATCACAGATTTGGGGCTGGCAAGGTCCTTAGAAGTCACTGAGTCATTTTACAGATGAGGAATTCACTGAGAGGTGACTTGCCCAGGAACACAAGGCAAGTGCCTCTGATGAATTCAAACCCAGATCTTCCTGACTCCACATCCAACACTCCATCCAGTACACTACACTGCCTCTTACTACTGTTCTCACTCTTGTGGACCCCTTCTAGTATTCATGCCTACTTCATTGGGTCAGATGATCAATAAAACTGTGGAGTTTCAATTGTAGGAACCCCAAGTTTGGAAAATCTTGAATGAATTCTTCTAACTTAATTCTGCTCAGCCTTATAATTGATTGATTAATCAAGAAGCACGTATATTCATTTATTGAGCACTTACTACATTTCAAACTGGCTGATGTGTAACAGCTGAGTGTGATGAGGAGATTGAGTCAGTCAAGTGTGTCTTCTGCAAAAAAAAAAAAAAAGGGTGTCTTCTGCAGTATCTACTTCTTTTTCTTTCCCTGTGGGTTACTGTTCCCCATTGCCCTGCCCCCAGGGCTTCTGAAAATCAGTTTTCAGGAAAGAATCTCAAACTCATTCACACTCACACACTGTAAATGCTGCTGTGGATACACTACAAAAGTGAGATTGACTCAGCCCTCAAGGAGCTTATATTCTCTCTGTACCCTTCTTTTCTCTCCTTGATATGCAGGAAGAGGTATCAGAATCAAGGACATTCTGAGAGAAGAGGAGACACTGACACACTTCCTGGTGCACACATTTGGCTTGCCTGACTCTGTGGTCTATCTTCTGATGAACTCCCAAGTCCGTCCTGAGCAGGTGGGGGGCCTTGAGTGTAATGAGGATGGTAGAAAGGGGCATGTGCTTTTGCCCTTTGCTTGTGGGCGTATGGGTGTTCCCCAGCTCTATCACCTATTACATGAATGATGGTGGGAGTGGGGGGGGGTGTCTTTGGAGGAGGAGGAGAGAGATGAGAACAGAATGGCTATGATTTCACTTACTAGTTTGGACCAAGGTGCCACGAGAGAAACCCAAGCCGGGAGAGGCAGAAAGGAGGACACTTTGCATTATTTAGCCTTCTTACTTTTCAGAGGTCAGGATTAGTGCTTTACCTTCAGAAAAACACAAAGGGGACAAGAAGAAGAGGATGCAAATTTTGGCTCTGGATACCACATGATGCATCCTTTCCTCTATGACCTTCTGTAGGTTCCTTCTGATAGCTCTTTCTTCTGATGGGTTCTTTTTATTGTTGTGGTTCAGTTGTTTCAGTTGTGGCTAAGTTTTTGTGACTTTGTGACTTTTTTGGGCAGAGATGCTGGAGTGGCGTGCCATTTCCTTCTCCAGCTCATTTTACAGATGAGGAAACTGAGACAAACAGCGTTGGTGACTTGCCCAGGGTCACACAGCTAGGAAGTGTCTGAGGCTATATTTGAATTCAGGAAGATGAATGTTCATGACTTCAGGCCCCGTTTCCATCGACTGTGCCACCTGGATCCCAATTCATACAAAAAGGCACTCCCCTTCTTCAAGCAGGCTGTAATTCCTCTATAGCTCCAAGCCTACACAATTCTTGTTTACATTTCCCTATAACTTATTCACAGGAGATCTGGCCCTCTTTCCATCTTCTCAGGTAGCAGTGAATCATTTGTTATTTGGGTCCAAATCTCCTTGACCAGGATCCAACCCATTTTGTTGTTTCCTGTTGGCTCATATGCTCACTGAAGGCAGGGCCTAGGCCTGTAGCATAATTGTGCACTGTGCCTAGCCAAGCGTTATGTGTGTATATGTTATTTATATAATGAGGTATAAACCTGTGATATTTATATTATGAGTGAGAGGAAGGATGTAGAATGGATAGAATGGTCTTGGAGTCAGAAAGACTTGAATTCCAGTCCCACCTCAGACACTTACTAGCCATGTGACCCTGCTCTCTCACCTCAGTTTCCTCATCTGTAAATTGAGGGAGATGGTCACGATGTGCAGCTCTAGACCTATAATCTGATGATCACAAGACCTCTGATATCTTCTGTTTCTTGGTCAATTGTCTCCTAAGCTTCTGTGGCTGAAAAACTTGTTCAGATGCAGCCAATAGCCAACCTGGTATTAAAGCTCACCAAAGTTGTCTTGGTGAACCTCCTGGGACAAGCCTACATCTGTGCCCTGGGCTTGACTGGAAGCCTTTTGAAGTTGGTAGGACTTGCATAAGCTTTTGCTATCCAGGCATAGCTCTCCAGAGCCCATGGTCACCTCCATGTCACAGTGATGCATTGGAGAAAGATTGTAAAGACAAAGCAAAGTAGAAAATGGTGGGGCAAATGAGGAACGCTGAGACTGCATATGAGATGTGTGAGGCCCTCTTAGCTAAGGCCCTGGCCAGCTCAGCCTTGTATCAGCTCTTCCACTATGCAGCCTTCCTGTTCATTTTTCCATCTCTAAGGACTGTGGCTGGAAACTGCCTACCCCATTCCCCCCAGCATCTGCTCAGAGGTGGTAAGAACTTTCAGGCTGGTTTCATGGTAAGAATACTGGCTTGGGGCTCAGGGGACCTGGGTTCAAATTCTACCTCTTCCATTTGCTACTCATCACCTAGGGCTAGTCACTACCTGGGCCTCAGATTCCTAGGACCATAGACTTAAGGGCTGTCTGGAAGAGATCTCAGAGACCATCTCATGTAACTCCCTCAGTTTCCAGATGAGGAAACTGAGGCTGAAGTGAAGCGACTTGTCCAGAGTCACATAGGTAGTGAGTGTCCAAGGAGGGATTTAAGCCCTTTGAGTCAGGTGTTCCTGACTCCGAATTCTGCCCTCTGTCCATTAGGTCATGCTTTCCTTCACATTTCCTGATCTGAAAAGTGAGGGGATGGGACTCTATGGCTTCTGATTCGTGATCTTACGAGCTAAAACAAACTTGGAGAAAAATCCAGGCCTCTCTCTCTCTCTCTCTCTCTCTCTCTCTCTCTCTCGCTGTCTCTGAGTCAGGTGTTCTCAGAAACAGGACAAAGGGTCCTACAGGTCAGACCATTCTTGAGTCAGCCCGTCAGTCCAGGGCATCCTGGTGCCAGCTGCCCCTGAATGTGCTGTCCTTCTTGGGCTGCCTGCCCCTCCAGCTGGAATGTAGCCCTGCTCTGTGGGAGGCTCGGTGTGAGGCCTGAGGCCCCCTGCTGCTTTGGGGGGGGGGGGGGGGTAGGGAGGAAGAATGTGTCAGCACTGATTGCTCATTTTCCTCGTTGCTGTCTCAATGGCTCATAAAACTGTACTCCTGGAAGTGTACGTGCTGGTTTCCAGTTGGTAATAAAAGGCAAATAGAGAAATTAAGAGGAATTTGGGGGAAATTTCTTTCCGGTTCCCCTCCAACAAGACCAGTTACATTTGGAGCCCCAGTCTCTGCAGGCTTTAGGGCCTGAAAACCTTTCCTGAGGAAAGAACAAACAATACAGGTCCCAGTACCCCAGGCTCCAGCTCACCTGACAAACCCAGGAACTTAAGCAAAGGTTATGGTCAACCAGACACATACAAGGGCTCTATTCACATGTGTCCCACATGGTCAGCTTAGGGTCATGGAGAGAGGGCCAGCTTTGGTGTCTGGACTACCCCAGTTCAAGTCCAGCCTTGGGCACATCCCAGCTGTGTGGCCCCGGGGCAAATCACTTAGCCTCTTAGTGTCCAAGGGCAACTCTCTAAGACCTGAAGTTACCAAAGAGCTGTTGATCTGCCTTGGTATGTCCACACTGGGAGTTCTGAACACAAATTGAGCCCAAGTGTGGCTCCAAACTAGGATTTCTTCTTCCCCTACACCCCGACCATGCTCACCCTATGTGCATGTGTCCCTGGGCCACTTATCTCTATCTCAGTTTCTCTGTCTCAGTCCCTATTCTTTAATCTCGTCTTCAGTCATTTCTTTCTCATCCTGTGATCTCTAAGGACACATCTTACTCTCGCTCTAGCTCTGTTACCTCCTTGACCATCTCAGCCTATTTGCTTCATCATCAAACACAGGGCTTTAAACCCTTAATACTGGTTATTAGATTCCACTCCCAAGGGCCTACTTAAGGGCTCCTATATCCACTTTCTCAGCTGGAAGATCATTTGAGGATTCGAGCATAGAGGAAAAACAAAACAAACCTAGACACAATCCGTTGGGATAGTAAGTAGCCCAGACTGATACAAAATCCTGCCTGTGGCCTTGTGACCTCACTTAAAAGTGACCTGGTTTCCCAGTTTGGGACTTACGTGTACTGGGTGGGCAGGTTTCCTAGGTAAAGTCCAGGGGAGATCCTGACCTGGAGCCAGGGGGGTCCCTTCAGTGTGTGACCATGGGCCAACTGTGAAGTACGGGAGAGGCTAAGCAGATGGGAATTACCTGAATTTCACAAAGTAATTCATCTACTTAGAAGCTTGTTTGGAACTTGGTGCCCTGGAGGCCAGCAGTCCTGGTACCAAAAAGTGCTGTCCCAGCTGCTGTGCTGGGCCACAACCGCTTGGCCCAGATTGATCCTTATCCCTTGCTTCAAGTGCCTATAGGGTTTGCTCACTTGGGATAAGAAGGAGAGAAGCCTTTGAATCATTAAGGGGATATGGTGTTATTCCCCACAGTTTGCTTATGGTGTCCCAGACCTGATGCTGAAAGACATTGCCTGCAGTGAAGCTCTGCTAAACCGGTTCATCATCTTCAGCCAGCGACGAGGGGCCCAAACTGTCCAGAGAGCCATGTGTCCCCTGTCCCAAGGCAGTCTGCAGTGGGTGGAAGATGCCCTGTATTCCAATGTGGACTTCTTTAAGCTCTTTCAGCTGGTAAGTGAATGACTTGGCTGGTGCCCCCATGGCAGGAGTCATCCCCAGGGCTGGAGGGCATGGAGCCAACTTTTTGAATGAATACTCGTGCAATGTCTTCTCCAAGGTGGTGAATCAACACTGAATCATGTGCAAGAATGAGCCTTGAGAAGTCATTGTCATATTCATTCTTTAGCTACATTCTATAGAAAGCCAAAGTTACATGAGTGGTTGTACCTATAAGATATACAGACACACACAGACACACACACACACACACACACACACACATTTTCAGAGGTCAGGATTAGTGCTTTACCTTTAGAAAAACACAAAGGGTTGGCTATGGATACCAAAGGACATATCCTTTCCTTTATGTGTTTCCGTAGGCTCCTCCTGATCTTTACTGTGATGGATTCTTTTCATTGTGGTTGTTCAGTTGTTTCAATTGTGGCTAAGTATTTGTGACTTTGTGACTTTTCTTGGCAGAGATGCTGGAATAGTGTGCCATTTCCTTCTCCAGCTCTAGGTTCAATTCTGGCCCTGCCACTCACTACCTGTATGACTTTGAAAGTCATTTAATTTCTCCAGGCCTCAGTTTTGTTCTGTGTAAATTAAGGGGGTTGGAGTAGGTGACCTCTAAGGTCCCTTCCGATTCTAAATCCAAGATTTTATGAATAATAAATATATAGATGTTTGTTTCTAGATCTTTGATTTTTATCTGTGTAGGGAATTCTTTTTTAGAAATTCCCTCCCCTGATGGAAATCAGCAACTTGTCTGCAATTGGTAATCTTAGAGAGTTGCCTACTGCCCTTAGAGGTTAAATGACCCAGTGGTCACAGAGTGTGTGTCACAGGCACAACTTGAACCCAGGTCTTCCTGGTTCTGAGGCCAGCTCTCTATCCATTGTGCCATGTTGCCTTTTGATAATAAAGGTGATTAGAATAATGACCATGTCCTCGTTTACATAGTATTTGAGAATTTATAAGAAAGGAATGCTTTGCAATGGAGCTGCCCTGGGAACCGGGAAGACCTGAATTCAATCCTTTGCTGCTGAGATTAACATTACTCTAGCCTGGTAGGTCCTGGTAGGCCCTGATAGGGATCCTGAGGCCAAAGGGCCTGGGACTTCACCAATCCCTCTCCTTGTCCTGCCCCTCCGCCTTTTTCCTAAGTTTAATACTCTAGGGTGGCCTGTCTCCTCAATAGTGGCAACTGTGCTCCCAGTTCATCAATTACACCTCCACTTCGGATTGCTGAGGAACAATTTTCTTATTGGTCCTAATTTACAGGGTCCTCCCAAGCAAGGGTGGGAGAAAGTCCGAAAGGCGTCCAGAGTACAAACATGAATCAAGTATTGAACAGACAGTTTTATTCCTACACAGAAAGAGAATGCTGTGCAATAAAGAATCATAGAATGTTTACCATCTATTGCTAGGTTAATATTCAAGGCTCACTGGGATGTTTGTAAATAGCTCTTGTCTTTGGAAGAACTTTTCCTCACCTCCCCCAAGCACAGCCTGATTATACCAAGAGGGCCCTTTTAGTCTCTCTCTGTGGGCTACTCTTTTCCTCCTGTTGAGGTGTGTGTAAGCAGGGATGGGGATGGGGGGAGGCAATGTCCTGCTGCTGCCTCTGCTGTGGCCGGTCCACAACAGCTGCTGCCTTTGAAGATCAAAGCCCTTTACCAAAGGAAAGGAAGCATAGACAGGAGGTGGTCTCATCTCAGGCATAGGCCTGTGAGTTCACTGATTGGGCCAGCTGTGGGGGACGTATCAGGAAGTCATCCTTAAACCTCAAGGCAAGAGGGAAGAAGAGGCCAGAGAGGTGGCCATTGTCTCTAGTAGATCCTTGGAGTTTTAGCTCAGCAGGCAATAAAAAGAGTCCTATGGATGGCAGGGAGTAATCAGAGGATGTCTACACTAGGTCTGAAGTGTGTGTGTGTGTGTGTGTGTGTGTGTGTGTAGGACTCCCCCATCACATATTTCTAAGTGGTGCTACAATATTTACTAAAGTTTTACTGTGTATTATGTTTAAAAATGGAAATTCCTTGAGGTAGGCATTATGTCCTAGCCCAGTGCCTAAAACTGAGCAGACACTTTAATAAATGTTTGTTCAATTGAATTGAATTGGATTGATTGTCATGGAATCTTTCCTGGAGGAGCTCAAGTATTTGGATCTTTTGCCCTCCTCCCCCCTTTTTTTTTTTTAGTAAGAGACCTCTTCTCTCTGAGTTCCCAGAAATGTTCTCCTAAAAGCCTTAAAAAAGCAAGATTAACATTCTTTTTAAAAAGCCAGTAGAATATGAGGTCCTGAGAGCAGAGGCTTTTTCAATTTTGGTTTTGTGCCCCACCCCCACCCCTACCCAGCCTAACAAAGTGCCTGGCACATAGTATGCACTTAATAAACACTGATTTGAGCTCCACTACAACCCTGTAGCCTCAGCTCTTTCCTCTCAGTTAGAAGCATTTAGCTCATTTCAACAAACTTGTTTGAAGCACCCATTATGAACCAAGTACTGTGCAAAAGCAGAGACCCAAAGAGGAGAACAAAGTAGAAGTCTCTGCTCTCAGAGAGGTTATATTCAGCAAAGTTTATATCCAGAAGGATCTGGGAAGTGGGCTGGATCAGGACATAATCACACACTCTCTGTGGGCAGAAAAGGTTTTTTTCTTTGACTCCAAATGGAAGATGGCACTGTGGGAGACAGCTTTTCTTTCCCTTGGTGGCATAGTGGATAGAGTATTAGACATGGAGTCAGGAAGACCTGAGTTTTCACCCTGCCTCAGACTTTCACTAGCTGTGTGACCCTGAGCAAATCATTGAACCCTTCTCAGCCTCAGTTTCCTCATCTGTTAAATGAGGATAATAATAGTACTTGTCTCCCAGGATTGTTGTGAAGGTCAAGTGAGATAGTATATGTGGCATGCTTTGGAAACCTGAGGGTGCTATATTAATTCCGGCTCTAATAATAATAATAACAACTACAATAATTGTTATTATTATTACTACTACTAGTACTCTCTTTTCCTGGCTCCTGGATTGTGCAAACTCACTTCCCAAGAAACCCAGCTCCTAGAAGAAGGTGAGAACAGACCCTTTACTCTCCTGGTGCCTCCAAAATGAATGGTTACATTCGATGAATCTGGGGGTGGCAGCTTCATACATTCTGAGCCACAAATGAGGGTCTCTTTTTAATCCTCCTCAATTGAGTGTGATGACCAAGTACACAAACACACATACTCCAAACAAACAAAGGCATGGAAAAGAGAAAAGGCTGGCAAGACCAAGCAGCAGCCAGAGCCTTTGTGGAGGCCCAGGCAGCAGGGGCCAGGGGGCCTTGGCTTGTCCTTGTGGGCCCAGCCAGGGGCTGCCATCAGGGGAAGGAAATCTCTTTCTGTAGCAGCGTTGTTATTGCAGCTGGTTGGCAGGATGCCATGTTTATCTGACCACAAAGTCACTCAAGCTTGGGAAGCCTCCAGTTCAGAGATAGCTGGGTCTTCTGTTTACATATGCTATTTCTCACACACAAATACAGAAATAGTTTTATTAAATGCCATGTTAGTGATTATTCTAAAAAAATTCTTTTAAAGAAAGAAAATCTTATTAAACCACTAAGTACCCCTGCCAGGTAGAGCTCTGAGCTCAGTGCCAGCATCTGAGGCCCAAAGTATTAGGGTTAGATAAGAGGAAAGGGGCAACCTGGAGTTGGGACCCAGTGAAACCAGCTTTCCTGTTCTTCAGCTCTCATCTGGAATGACCCTTCCCTTCAATATCAATGAGATTGTCCTTAAATCATTCTCCCCATGACCCTCAAGTCCCCTAAGCAAGGAGTCATGAGACCTTAAAGGTCATTTTGTCCAACCCCTTCACTTTATAGATGGGGAAATGAGGCACACAATGACATATTCCCGTGAGGGAACATGGAATGTAAAGTCCTGTGGGCAGCCTACAGAGAGAAGTATAAAGTGAATGGGACTGGTTTGTGTCAGGATTTCTTATGCTTTCTGGCTTGTCTTAGGTCAACATAGTTTATTATTATTGTTACTATTATTATCATTGCTGTTGTTGTTAGCTAGCACTAATATAGCACTTTAAGACTTGCAAAGCCCTTTAAATACTTTGAGGTAGGTGCTCTAATTATCTCCATTTTACACATGAGAAAACTGAGAGAAAGGTTAAGTGACTTGCCCAGGATCACATAGCTAGTAAGAATGTGAGGCAGGATTTGAATTTGGGTCTTTTCTCAGGCACTTTACCTGCCAGGCCACCTAGGATTCCCCACTTTCTGGCATCCCATCCCCCAAATTACTTTGTTTTTACTCATTCCTGTTTTCATTTTCTCTTTGTTGCTCCAGTGCCTCCAGGGACTTGCCCAGGGTCACATGCCTAGTCAGTGACTGAGGCCAGATGTGAATCCAGGCATTGCTGGCTCCCAGTCCACTGCACTGTCTCCTTTCCTACCTAGATTGGGGGAGAAAGTCAGTCATCTGTGTTGGAGGACTTTCACCCCTAGCTGAAAGCAGGAACTCCAGAGTTGGGCAAGATATGTGCTTCTTGCAAAGCTAACTGAGTTGTTTCCATACCTCATAAAATTTTTTTTTAAAAGAAGTTTTCCTTTGGTTTTGGGTAAGAGATTTGGGATGATTCCTATCTGATTGGGCCCAGGGTCTATTCCTCCTCCTCCTCCACCGTTTCCTCCTCCTCCTCTTCCTCACTCCCTGGCTCCTTCTGCCTCCTCCCCCTTCTGACTATTCATCCTGTTTTCTCTTGGGCTCTGGCTGAACAACTTTGAAATCTTGCTGAGAAGCAAATCAGTCCCTTCTGTGTCGAATGTTTATTTGTGGAAGTTCAGCAGGGGAACTGAGCTTGGTGCCAAGACCTGCCACACTGCTGGGAAACCTGAATTTCCCCTCCCCTCCCCCCAGTCACTAGGAGCTGATAGAGGGAATCTGGCCTCCCCAGAGGGTTGGCTCATGATTTCTTTTCCCTCCCCGCCCTCTCTATACCCATTTTGAGA